TGTGTGTGTGTGTGTATGTATGAGTATGTGTGTGTCTGTGTGTCTCAGTCTACTCTGCAATCATTTTTCAATTTTAATCTGTCCGGTAATAAATCAAGTTCTAAAGCTCATAATAAATATTTATACCCTGTCGACCATGTGATAAACTTAAACACTTCTTTTCTTTTTGTTATTGTATCATTACTGTCAAACATTTCTTTGTTAAATTTATTACGAATGTTTCTTTAGGATTCAACCTGCAAATTTCTTTGTTGAATTTATTCTGTAACGCATCTCTCTCCGTTGACTTTGCTCTGTAATGCATGTAATAACCTCATAATTATACTCCTATGTCGAATCTGTTCTATAATACTTTTCTCTGCTGAATCAGTATATTTTGTAATTAATGATTCTCCATTCTCGTAGATTGATATTGTTTGAGAGTGCTAGCAGGCCTATTGCTCGGGTAATGATGTAGAAGATTGTAAAGGGCTTAGAGCTTGCTGTTGAGTGGGAGGGTTATGACGATGCTATTTTATTATCCATTTATACGTTGGATAATTCTGTAATATTATATCTATCTATTCATTCCAATCACAGTTTTTGAACAAAATCCACCATTATAATACGCATTTATGCAGACCACAAGGTGCACCACAACCCACACTAGAGTGGGAATACAGCCAGAACGGTCAGTCTTTCTCTACCTTTCCTTTCGGAGTGTCCACCTTCACAGTCGCGGACTTGGTCAATGCACCAGGCCTGGAGTGTCTGTATGTCAGCCAAAGTCAGAGACAGGTAACCACATTTAACTTATAGATATGCCGATCAATCAATCAGACAATCAGTAACACTTTATTGATCTCATTCATATAACAGCTCAGTCTATTATCTTGATATGGAATATTTCTATCTCTGTCCATACATTTCTACCCCCTATGCCCCCCCCCTTCTCTCTCTCTCTCTCTCTCTCTCTCTCTCTCTCTCTCTCTCGCAGTCAGTCTACCTATTGGTTGATCAATCAGTCCATTGTTACCCTCATTTTTCCTGTACCTCAATCAATGGATCTTCTTCTTGATCAATTAGTTAATCACCATATCACTGATTACTTACTCTGTCTTTCTCTCGATCACGTATCTTTCCAATCAATCAAACATTACATTTATTACTGATTACTTTAATTAATGTATTAATCAGTTAACCCCGTTATCAGTCAACCAACCACCCAAACAAACCACCCACCCAACAAACCACCCACCCAACCAACCAACCAACCAACCAACCAACCAACCAACCAACTAAACAACCAACTAAACAACCAACAAACCAAGCATTTAATCAATTAATTAATTAGTCAATTAATTAATCAACCAATTAATCAATTAACCCATTCATCCATCCATCCATCCATCCATCCATCCATCCATCCATCCATCCATCCATCCATCCATCCATCCATCCATCCATCCGTCCGTCAATCAATCAATCAATCATGTATGCAATCAAGCGTGTCTACCATTGTTAGGTGACCTTGCCTGTGACGTCAGACGGCCAGGTGATCAGGTGTCGTTCCCAGGCCACCGGACATATCTCCTCTCCCGTGACCCTCACAGTAGTACCACCTCCGACCACCACCGCCACAACAACCACAGCCACCACCACCACAACCACAACCACAACCACGACATCTACAACAACCTCTACACCTACCACATCTACAACAACCCCTGCACCTACCACAACCTCCACAACAACACCAACACCCACAACTACAACAACACCTACGACTACTACTATTACTACCACTCCAACAACTACTACAACTACCCCAACAACGACTTCAACTACAACCACATCACCGACGACGACAACAACAACAACAACAACAACAACAACAAGTGTAGCAGCGGTTACATCTGAGCCAGGTATTTACCCTACTTTAACCACATCTCACTTTTCTTCAGGGTGTGCTGTTAGCTCAATATTGGTATCATACAGGAATGTGGTGTGGGTGGTCTTGGTTCGAATCTCCAATAGGTTGTTTTTGAACTTGGACTGTCTTGAGAGTTGTTGTTGTCCGTTTTTGTTTCTTTCTCCATCCATTTGGCTATGTCCTATCTCGGAGATGGACGTGGTACATTCATAAATCCCGCCTCTTTAATTATGGCCTCACACTGCTGGTAGGGGCTTTAAATCTGTACAACCACTACTACTTTTCAGCATTCTAAGGGTTCATGTTTGTATGACATGGGGATATACGCCCATTTCAACATTACTGAGGTTGTTTTTAGACACCAGATTCCCAAATGTGCCTACGAATCATATATGACAAATCCCAATAGGTGGAGAGAGTTGCAAATCACCACACAACCAAATTCATGAAATCCCCGTAGAGGAATTGAACCGGGGTCTTTTGCAAAAGCCGTCCACTTTGATACCAATAGAGCTAACGTCCGAGCCTCTTAATACGTGTTTGACGGTTAGGACTGATACAGAAATTTGTTGTTTTATTTCTTCAATTGATTAATATTATATTATTTGACGGTGGATGGTGGGTGTTCTGGTGCGGTTTGTTCCTTCTTTCCTCTCAAACATCTATCGTCCTTATCTCTCCTTCTTATATTTGTTTGTATTTGACTATGCAGTAACGCCTATGATCCCCGCCATTTATACAACCATCTTGTGTTGCAAGTGCCGTCAAACTCTTACTATAACTAAACTAAGAATAAGATAATAGTGTTTGTCCTACTCTGTTTGCGCCCTATGGGTATAATTGTAACACTCTCAGCCCTGGTTGGCAGTGAGTGGCAGGTTAAAAGCATCCTCGCTTCCTAAATGACTTTAATTGTGTCAATGGAGGTGTCTGTAGCAAATAATCAGTCACTTGATGATGATTCTCTGAGTTATGTTGTGAGTTAAGGAGCATTACTTTGATGTTTTCTTAAAATGAACGTATCTTTTTCCGTTTTTCATTTGAACCCTTGAAATATTATTGTGCTTAACTGTATGCACCGCTTTAGAGATGAAGTCAGAGAAAGATAAGCTTAGTCTGTACCTAACCTGCAGCTTCATCAACATGACATGTGGATGGTTGGCGGTCGTTCGTCTTTCCTATTAAACATCGAGCGTCTTTTTCTCTTCTCTATCTTTTCATTGCATGTTTCCCTCTAGTTGCACTTTTAAACTTTGGCCAATTTATTTGACCAATTTGTGTTGCAAGTGCCGTAAAACTCTTGCTAAAACTAAGCTTCTTCATGTTGGTCGTAAAACAACTACGTTCTCAATTTTAATGACAATGTTATTGTGTTAAATTGTAGGAGCTGCCATACAGATGGCGTCAGATTTAGATGAGCTCAGCCTTTACCTCCCTGCCACTCTCACCTGTAACTTCACCACCCCGTCGTGGGAGGCCGTCACCATCAATGTGTGAGTTCACCAATAGAAACATAGTTTTACAGTAATACGGTTAAAGAAAAAAACAAAACTTGGAACAGAGCTGAAGTTATGACAATGGCTGTGCCCTCTGTCTGTCTGTCTGTCTGTCTGTCTGTCTGTCTGTCTGTCTGTCTGTCTGTCTGTCTGTCTGTCTGTCTGTCTGTCTGTCTGTCTGTCTGTCTGTCTGTCTGTCTGTCTTTCTGTCTCTCTTTCTGTTTCTCTGTCTGTCTGTCTGTTTGTCTCCCTCTCTCTCTCTCTCTCTCTCTCTCTCTCTCTCTCTCTCTCTCTCTCTCTTCCTCTGTCTCTCTTTCTTTCTCTCTATATCTTTCTATGTATCCCCCCCACCAACCTCCCCCCCCTTCAGTTCTGATGGCTATTTACAGTATCTTCCTTTGCAATAAGTCATCTTTGCCTTTCTCACCCTGCACCAGGGTATAGGCCATGAACTAACACCTTCCACCTTTCTCTGTCCTTGGCTAGCCTCTTGATGTTATTCCATGTCTTCCCACTTTTCTATATATCGATTTCTGAGATTCTTCTCCACATTCCACGCGGTCTTCCCCTTGATCTCTTACCTAGTGGGTTCCAATCTAAAACTTTCTTTGTTATGCAGCTGCCTGACTTCCTGAGAGTATGTCTAATCCATCGCCACCGCCTTCTTCCTACCTCATCTCTGACTGGGATCTGTCTTGTTTTCCTTAACACTTCCACATTGGTGACCCTGTCTGTCCATCTGATCCTCAGTAACTTTCTTAGACACCTGTTCAAGAAAACCTGGATCCTCTTTATGCAAGTCTGTGATGCGTTCCATGTCTCACATCCATACAACAGGACCGACTTCACATTTGAATTGAAAATCCTCAGCTTTGTTCGAAGTGAGATATCTCTTGTCTGCCAAGTCCTATCCAAAGATATGAAAGCAGCCTGTGCTTTTCCAATGCGGGGCTTTACTTCAGTAGGCCTACCTGTTCCTCCCTCTCTGTCAATTATACTCCCTTTGCAATAAGTACGTGGAAAAAATACAGTAAAACGATTTAAAGTATTAAGAGTCGAGTCATAAACTACCATTGTGTTCTCAGTGTTGTTTCAGGTGGATTGTTTACGGTAGCGTCCTTTTTCCCTGACGGTAGATCCCAGCTGGCTAACGACCCCGCCCTCTATGGGATTGACAGGTGAGTGTTCTCCCTTCCAGCCCCATGTGCGTATATTTTCAGCAGCACTTGCACCTCCCACGGTCGCACGAGCGTATATTCTCAGTTTCTGGAGGTACCGAATTTGCTCATTTTTCAAAATTAACGAACCTAATTAAGCGTTAATTTTCATAATATTTGTACATTTACCTTTAAACATTGTTATTTGTTATTGTCTAAACCCCATTAAAATGACACTACATCACCTTTTAGAATGCAAGCCTCTTTTTCTGAAACACTGCTGTATTGGCTGGGACTGAGGTAAAAGAATGCACAAAAATGACTGCTTATGTGTCACCGTTCATCTGCACAGCGTATGAATTCATGTCCTTTGACTTGCGCGTTTTTTTGCTTTGAGACGACGGTATTTAAAAGCACTTAGAGCTAAATTGTACGGGAGCTAAGTAGGCGTTAGAAATTATTTGCATTGCTATTGTTTCCATCTCCATCTCATCTCATCTCTTCTCAGTTTATCTCATCTCTTTTCATTTAATCTCATTTCATTTCACCCCACCTCCTCACTTTTCAGTTCATCTCATCTCACCTCAAGACACTTTGCTGACGCACGCGAGAGGCCCGAGTTCGATTCCCACGAGAGGAATTTTTATGAAACATATCGGTCTTTCAGTCTGGTTTGACAATAGCAGTTAGGGTCTCTTAAATGATCTAAATTGTGCGGATGGAGACGTAAAAACAGCTGTTTAATTTATTAATCCCTTCTCACCTCAGCTTACCTCATCCCATCTCATCTCATCTCGTCTCATCTCATCTCATTCCATCCCATATCATCTTATCTCATCTCGTCTCATCTCAAATCGTCTAATCTAATCTCATCTCATCCTATAAATCCCATCCCGTCCCATCCCCTCCCATCTCATATAATCTAGCCTTAACTGAAACAATACGGTTTTTCTTCCTCTTCCCAGCGAGGTCACAGCAGATGCAAGTTCCTTCCGTCTCCGTTTCAACCAGGTCCACTGCCGGGACAATGTGACGTATGTGTGCCTGGGCCGGGCTCAGGGGGTGTCCTATCCCAGTGTGGTCACTCCTAGCTTCTCTTGTGAGTCTATGTTTATAACCATATA